CAACACTAACACCAACTAGCAACACTAACACCAACTAGCAACACTAACACCAACTAGCAACACTAACACCAACTAGCAACACTAACACCAACTAGCAACACTAACACCAACTAGCAACACTAACACCAACTAGCAACACTAACACCAACTAGCAACACTAACACCAACTAGCAACACTAACACCAACTAGCAACACTAACACCAACTAGCAACACTAACACCAACTAGCAACACTAACACCAACTAGCAACACTAACACCAACTAGCAACACTAACACCAACTAGCAACACTAACACCAACTAGCAACACTAACACCAACTACACTAACACCAACTAGCAACACTAACACCAACTAGCAACACTAACACCAACTAGCAACACTAACACCAACTAGCAACACTAACACCAACATTAACACAACTAGCAACACTAACACCAACTAGCAACACTAACACCAACTAGCAACACTAACACCAACTAGCAACACTAACACCAATACAACATTAACACCAACTAGCAACACTAACACCAACTAGCAACACTAACACCAACTAGCAACACTAACACCAATAGCAGCAACACTAACACAACAGCAACACTAACACCTAGCAACACTAACACCAGCTAACACACACACTAACTAACACCAACTAGCAACATTAACACCAATAGCAACACTAACACCAATATCAACACTAACACCAGCTGGCAACAATAACACCAGCTGGCAACACTAACACCAACTAGCAACACTAACACCAATAGCAACACTAACACCAACTAGCAACACTAACACCAACTAGCAACACTAACACCAATTAGCAACACTAACACCAATAGCAACATTAACACCAATAGCAACATTAACACCAATAGCAACATTAACACCAACTAGCAACACTAACACCAATAGCAACACTAACACCAACTAGCAACACTAACACCAGCTGGCAACACTAACACCAGCTAGCAACACTAACACCAACTAGCAACACTAACACCAGCTGGCAACACTAACACCAGCTAGCAACACTAACACCAGCTGGCAACACTAACACCAACTAGCAACACTAACACCAGCTAGCAACACTAACACCAGCTGGCAACACTAACACCAACTAGCAACACTAACACCAACTAGCAACACTAACACCAATAGCAACACTAACTCCAACTAGCAACACTAACACCAGCTGGCAACACTAACACCAACTAGCAACACTAACACCAACTAGCAACACTAACACCAGCTAGCAACACTAACACCAACTAGCAACACTAACACCAGCTAGCAACACTAACACCAACTAGCAACACTAACACCAGCTAGTAACACTAACACCAGCTGGCCACACTAACACCAACTAGCAACACTAACACCAACTAGCAACACTAACACCAGCTAGCAACACTAACACCAATAGCAACACTAACACCAGCTAGCAACACTAACACCAACTAGCAACACTAACACCAACTGGCAACACTAACACCAACTAGCAACACTAACACCAACTGGCAACACTAACACCAACTAGCAACACTAACACCAACTAGCAACACTAACACCAACTAGCAACACTAACACTAACACCAACTAGCAACACTAGGAACACAAAAAAGATAAATTAGATTCAATTGGTTGTTCATTCAAGTAATTATAAGTGGGCCAATAGCAGCAACCGTTGTCTTCCGGCTAAACTGCGTACGGTTCAGTGCCACCAATCACAGCCGCCTACCTCAGTACCCAGCGGGACACAGTCTGTGGCGCTGTTGTCAAGACCCACCAGCACACGGTCTGTGGCGCTGTTGTCAAGACCCACCAGTTACAGCACACGGTCTGGGGTGCTGTTGTCAAGACCCACCGGTTACAGCACACGGTCTGTGGCGCTGTTGTCAAGACCCACCGGTTACAACACACGGTCTGTGGCGCTGTTGTCAAGACCCACCGGTTACAGCACACGGTCTGTGGTGCTGTTGTCAAGACCCACCGGTTACAGCACACAGTCTGTGGTGCTGTTGTCAAGACCCACCGGTTACAGCACACGGTCTGTGGTGCTGTTGTCAAGACCCACCGGTTACAGCACACGGTCTGTGGTGCTGTTGTCAAGACCCACCGGTTACAGCACACGGTCTGTGGTGCTGTTGTCAAGACCCACCGGTTACAGCACACGGTCTGTGGTGCTGTTGTCAAGACCCACCGGTTACAGCACACGGTCTGTGGCGCTGTTGTCAAGACCCACCGGTTACAGCACACGGTCTGTGGTACTGTTGTCAAGACCCACCGGTTACAGCACACGGTCTGTGGTACTGTTGTCAAGACCCACCGGTTACAGCACACAGTCTGTGGTACTGTTGTCAAGACCCACCGGTTACAGCACACGGTCTGTGGTGCTGTTGTCAAGACCCACCGGTTACAGCACACGGTCTGTGGTACTGTTGTCAAGACCCACCGGTTACAGCACACAGTCTGTGGTACTGTTGTCAAGACCCACCGGTTACAGCACACGGTCTGTGGTGCTGTTGTCAAGACCCACCGGTTACAGCACACGGTCTGTGGTACTGTTGTCAAGACCCACCGGTTACAGCACACGGTCTGTGGTGCTGTTGTCAAGACCCACCGGTTACAGCACACGGTCTGGGGTGCTGTTGTCAAGACCCACCGGTTACAGCACACGGGACTTACAGCTTACTGTACCCAATAGTAATAGTCGCCAATAATATTGCACATTACATTTAGGTGCTCCTAGCAAGTCGACCAATCAGAGGGGACGTCACATCCAGCCACGGCTTGACGTAAACAAACACCTCGCTCACATCTGCCAGGGCACCACATTTTGGCCTCTACTCCCTAAAGTTCCAGCAGTCAAGTCGGCGAGAACGATTTTGGCGCATACGACTTTGTTTTGGAGGATCTGGAATTCGAATTCGCGAAGTTTGAAGCAAGTTAGGCAGTGGAGGGTCCCAGCGGCCGCTCTGGGATGATGTTGATGGGTAATGGAGGCCGGTCAGGGTAACCTACCTCCCTTGGCACCTCTTCAGGGGGTGATGAGGAGATTGTAAACCCTCTCTGTTGTGATGTTATTTAACAATAAAAACAGAGCTTTCTTGACGTCAACAGTAGGAACTCTCATGATATCCTGTTTTCCCACATACTATCTAACTTATTTTAATTTATTGACAGCTTTTACATTTTACTAACCGATGTCTAATTTAATATTTCGATGTAAGTTAACAACTTAATTAGCAACAATACGGAAATTTTCACAGCTTACTTAGCAGCATTATAGTTATTTTTCACCGCTAAATTAGCAACATTATTTTCATTTTCACAACTTAATAAGAACATTATGCTTGTTTTCGTATTATAAGTAATCTTACGGAATAATTATACTCAAACAAGTCATAAACCAACGGCTAGTAGTAACCTTTATTTGAATACGATATAAATTTATTTATCCTTAAAATTTTTATATCAGTAACCCCTTGAAGGAAGTAGGTGAGATGACGGTAGTATCGTCAGGGTGTTCTCATAGCCTAGTGAACAGTGTGTATCTAACAGGACCAGTGTTCTCATAGCCTAGTGAACAGTGTGTATCTAACAGGACCAGTGTTCTCATAGCCTAGTGAACAGTGTGTATCTAACAGGACCAGTGTTCTCATAGCCTAGTGAACAGTTGTGTATCTAACAGGACCAGTGTTCTCATAGCCTAGTGAACAGTGTGTATCTAACAAGGGCCAGTGTTCTCATAGCCTAGTGAACAGTTGTGTATCTAACAGGACCAGTGTTCTCATAGCCTAGTGAACAGTGTGTATCTAACAGGGCCAGAGTGTTCTCATAGCCTAGTGAACAGTGTGTATCTAACAGGACCAGTGTTCTCATAGCCAAGTGAACAGTGTGTATCTAACATGACCAGGGTGTTCTCATAGCCTAGTGAACAGTGTGTATCTAACAGGGCCAGAGTGTTCTCATAGCCTAGTGAACAGTGTGTATCTAACAGGACCAGTGTTCTCATAGCCTAGTGAACAGTGTGTATCTAACAGGACCAGTGTTCTCATAGCCTAGTGAACAGTGTGTATCTAACAGGGCCAGAGTGTTCTCATAGCCTAGTGAACAGTGTGTATCTAACAGGGCCAGAGTGTTCTCATAGCCTAGTGAACAGTTGTGTATCTAACAGGACCAGTGTTCTCATAGCCAAGTGAACAGTGTGTATCTAACATGACCAGGGTGTTCTCATAGCCTAGTGAACAGTGTGTATCTAACAGGGCCAGAGTGTTCTCATAGCCTAGTGAACAGTGTGTATCTAACAGGACCAGTGTTCTCATAGCCTAGTGAACAGTGTGTATCTAACAGGGCCAGTGTTCTCATAGCCTAGTGAACAGTGTGTATCTAACATGACCAGAGTGTTCTCATAGCCTAGTGAACAGTTGTGTATCTAACAGGACCAGTGTTCTCATAGCCTAGTGAACAGTGTGTATCTAACAGGACCAGAGTGTTCTCATAGCCTAGTGAACAGTGTGTATCTAACAGGACCAGTGTTCTCATAGCCTAGTGAACAGTGTGTATCTAACAGGACCAGTGTTCTCATAGCCTAGTGAACAGTCACGGCTTCCAACGCTCTGCACCTCCAACTCTGTTTATCTCTATCTTACTCCTCTCATTTACTCCCTCTCCCATACTCCTTCTTCCTTGTTCCCTCTACTTTGCTCAGGGTGAAGCAGAAGAGTGGTTGAAACATTGTAAACAAAGTCTCCCTCTGGAAAGCGAAAAACGTTTCACCCTAGTCAGCTCTGTCCGCGTCTTTCACTCTATCTCTCGCTTCCTTTCATCTTCTCTTTATTGCTCCCTCCGTCCCTCTTCTCTGTCCACCTGCAATGTAAAAATTGCTGGTCTACGGTGGTACTGTCTACACACACAGTTGGTTTGTTTATATGCTGGTCGTATGCTGTGTATACTTTTGTATTCTTAATTGAAAAACATGTTTCTTTTTTTTTGCAGTGATGTACTTAAACCCTACGGTGAGCACGGCGACACAGTAAAGAACCATCTACTGTGCTACAGTGCACGCTGCAGCTGAGTGACATTCAGGACTACAGTGACTATATATGTGTGAGATGTGTATTGTGACTGGTGTATTGGAACAAGCACCTCTATAATTCGTCTTGAGCCATACTTGTGACCATCTGAGGAGCATCACTGTTGCCAGCTGTGCTGCATCTACACCATCACCTTAAGTCATCTCCAACTTCTTACATGGCCAACTTTACCTCATGATAGCTATAATCTTTGACTAATCTGCCCGCTTGACATCTTAACCTCATGACAGCTCCAAGCATTTGATGCAATCAGTGTTTGACAGTCGACTTCATGACAGCTTTGACCCCTGCCAGTCTTAATGACACGACAAGCGCCGCTCTTTGACAGACAGTTCCCTTGATACTTAAGTCACTTGTCAGTTGAGCCTTTCCACATTTGACCCCTTATAAAGTGGGACATTTGACAGTTTGAAACGTGACAGCTTGATAAATGACAGAGGGATATTTGACACACTTTGGCCCTCTGAGAGTTCAATATTTGACAGTTGGTGTTCGCGAGAGTTGAGTGTGCAACAGTGAGGTCATATAAAGTTAGATTCTTGGAAGGTGTGTTGGTAAACGCCTGGGTATTGACAAGTGGATCCTTGAGAGTGTTTGCCAGTGGCAGTCCGCTGGGAGAACTGACCATGCCCCCCTGGGGTGTGGGAGGCGTGGCCGCGCGCCCCCCTCACCCCGGGAGCGATCACCCCACCGTCACCCCACACGCCCACACCACGTCCACCCACTAGTATGGGTGGCGGCAGTGGGCGGGCGGGCGCTAATCTCCTGCTGCTGCTACTCCTGGCCACCCACGTGTGTTCCTCGCCGGTGCCAGAGGCCGCCCGCCACGCCCGCCATGCCAACCTCACCCACCACACCGACCCCACACGCCCACGAAGCATGGCACCCGCCCACCACACCCTTGGCACGCCCGCGCCACATACTCACGAGCCCGGCAAGGCAGCGACTAGCGTGGGACGTGGGCGTGGGTGGAGGAGGCGTGGGCGTGGAAAAATAGAGTACACCCTGGAGGTGCTACCCTCGCCGGCCTCCAGGGAGGAGGCGGAGAGCGGGCGGCTGGCCTCCCAGGTGACGGTGGAGGCCCAGCTGCTCCCCTGGCTATTGGATGGAGATATTGGAGGCCGCCCACGCTGCGTGGAGGCCAGCTTGGCCTCCAAGGCCGCCCATCAAGCCCTGCAGCATCAACCTCCCCCTGCAGGAGTCTCCGTGGTCATCCTTCCTCCACCCCCAGGTGAGTTACTGCCCTTGTTGACTCCGCCCACCCATATTAGGCCCAATATACCCCATCATCCGGCTATATTAGACACACTATGACCCCAGCACAGGCTGTGTTAGGACCAATATAGCCTCACCATTTTCAATATTAGGAACAATATGAGCCCTATATATGCTATTTTAGTGCAACATAACCACAATACCTATCATATTATGGCCAATATGACCGCAATGTTCCTCTCTAACACCGTGCAATAGTCTCGTGGCTCCACGACTCCCGAGTCCTGTTACCAGGCTGAGAGCTTCCCTTCCCATAGCTCATGGTAAACCTGAGGTACCCAAACACTGTGAGTGGTACCCAAACACTGTGAGTGGTACCCAAACACTGCTGTGGTACCCAAACACTGTGAGTGGTACCCAAACACTGCTGTGTGGTACCCAAACACTGTGAGTGGTACCTAAACACTGCTGTGTGGTACCCAAACACTGTGAGTGGTACCCAAACACTGCTGTGTGGTACCCAAACACTGTGAGTGGAACCTAAACACTGCTGTGTGGTACCCAAACACTGCTGTGTGGTACCCAAACATTGCTGTATGGTACCCAAGCACTGTGAGTGGTACCCAAACACTGCTGTGTGGTACCCAAACACTGCTGTGTGGTACCCAAACACTGTGAGTGGTACCCAAACACTGCTGTGTGGTACCCAAACACTGAGTGGTACCTAAATACTGCTGTGTGGTACCCAAACACTGCTGTGTGGTACCCAAACATTGCTGTGTGGTACCCAAGCACTGTGAGTGGTACCCAAACACTGCTGTGTGGTACCCAAACACTGCTGTGTGGTACCCAAACACTGTGAGTGGTACCCAAACACTGCTGTGTGGTACCCAAACACTGCTGTGTGGTACCCCACACAGCAGTGGGGTACCACACAGCACTGTGTGGTACCCCACAGTGCTGTGTGGGTACCACACAGTACCCAAACACTGCTGTGTGGTACCCAAACACTATGAGTGGTACCCAAACACTGAGTGGTACCTAAATACTGCTGTGTGGTACCCAAACACTGCTGTGTGGTACCCAAACATTGCTGTGTGGTACCCAAGCACTGTGAGTGGTACCCAAACACTGCTGTGTGGTACCCAAACACTGCTATGTGGTACCCAAACATTGTGAGTGGTATCCAAACACTGCTGTGTGGTACCCAAACACTGCTGTGTGGTACCCAAACACTGTGAGTGGTACCCAAACACTGCTGTGTGGTACCCAAACACTGCTGTGTGGTACCCAAACACTGCTGTGTGGTACCCAAACACTGCTGTGTGGTACCCAAACACTGCTGTGTGGTACCCAAACACTGCTGTGTGGTACCCAAACACTGCTGTGTGGTACCCAAACACTGCTGTGTGGTACCCAAACATTGTGAGTGGTATCCAAACACTGCTGTGTGGTACCCAAACACTGCTGTGTGGTACCCAAACACTGTGAGTGGTACCCAAACACTGCTGTGTGGTACCCAAACACTGTGAGTGGTACCCAAACACTGCTGTGTGGTACCCAAACACTGTGAGTGGTACCCAAACACTGTGAGTGGTACCCAAACACTGTGAGTGGTACCCAAACACTGTGAGTGGTACCCAAACACTGTGAGTGGTACCCAAACACTGTGAGTGGTACCCAAACACTGTGAGTGGTACCCAAACACTGTGAGTGGTACCCAAACACTATGAGTGGTACCCAAACACTGCTGTGTGGTACCCAAACACTGTGAGTGGTACCCAAACACTGCTGTGTGGTTCCCAAACACTGTGAGTGGTACCCAAACACTGTGAGTGGTACCCAAACACTGTGAGTGGTACCCAAACACTGTGAGTGGTACGAAAAACACTGTGAGTGGTACCCAAACACTGTGAGTGGTACCCAAACACTGCTGTGTGGTACCCAAACACTGTGAGTGGTACCCAAACACTGTGAGTGGTACCCAAACACTGTGAGTGGTACCCAAACACTGCTGTGTGGTACCCAAACACTGTGAGTGGTACCCAAACACTGCTGTGTGGTACCCAAACACTGTGAGTGGTACCCAAACACTGTGAGTGGTACCCAAACACTGTGAGTGGTACCCAAACACTGTGAGTGGTACCCAAACACTGCTGTGTGGTACCCAAACACTGTGAGTGGTACCCAAACACTGTGAGTGAACAGAGAAGGAAAGTGAAGAATTAGCACCTAGACGAATCTTCCCCGCCAGGATTCGAACCATGACAGTCAATCACATCACATCGGTAACTGAACATTGAACACCTTCTCGTTGAACACCAATAATTAGCATTGTCGGGGGACAGGCAGCCTGTGTGTATATATATAACTTAGACCAGTATCGGGGTCGTCCCTTAAGGTGGAACTACTAACCCTCCCCTGGATGCAACCCCTCAACAGGCGACTAACTCCCAGGTACCTATTTACTGCTAGGTGAATAGCGGCATTAGGTGATAGGAAACGTAGTACCGAGACCCATATATGAATTATGAATATATGTGCGATACAAATTGTGGAGATGTCGGTACTGGGAGCTCGGGCTCCAGCCAGGCGAGCATGAAAGTACATATTAACTTTTAATAGGTGGTGTTATGCGTGTTAATAACATGCATAACACCACGTTAACAGGACAGTTAATTAGACAAATATTACAAAAAAAGAAAGAGAGAGCATATGTAGGTTATTCAGATCCCCCGTAAAGCCATTATCTTAACAAAATAGAATACTAACTTAGCCTAACCTAGCCTTAGTTAACATAACCCGTCCAGAAACTCCAGGAAAAGCTAGGCTTGCTGGAAGGAGCCAACTGCCAGGAGACAGCTACTAGCAGCTAGCTGGCAGGAGTCGCCCTCTCCACCTCCAACCTCCTACGTCACTGTAATTTATTTATTTATTTATTTATATACAAGAAGGTACACTGGGTTCATGAGAGTAGAGAAACTTGAAGTTTTATATTCCTGTAAAGCCACTAACATGTATAGCGTTTCCGGCAGATCCTTAATCTAACATAATTTTAAGAGGTTAATTTCTAGCAAAGTTAAAAAAAATGTTTACAGGTACATCGTAGGATATTATAAAAATACATTGTAAGAAGGTATAAATATATATTGTAAGAAGGAATAAAAATACATTGTAATGAAGTATAAAAAAAATTGTATAAGAAATTTGACAGAAAAATAGTATGTACATTAAAGTAAATTTAAGGGTTATCCACATGTACATTTTAGCATAATTTGAGGATTATTGCAAGATATAATGTAGCTAACTGTGTGTTTAACATGATATAAGATAACAGCAAAGATTACAATGGTAAAGTTGTATGGCATAGGTACATATATTGGGGGAGTGGGTAGCACTAGAGACAGTCAGAGTTTCAAGCAAGAGGCAGGAAACTATGAAGATGAAATTAGGTACTTTTTGGTTTTATTTTTGAATAAGGCAAAAGTTTGACAGCTTTTCAATTCGTTAAAGAGTGAGTTCCATAGACCAGGTTCCTATATTTGTATGGAGTGTTTACACAGATTAAGTTTGACTCTGGGGACATCAAAGAGATATTTATGTCTGGTGTGGTGAGTATGTGTTCTATTACATCTATACCTATGCCTATATATGCACAATATGCTAATTTATATTAATATTAATTTATATTTGAGAAAACTCCCGTTTTGAATGAACAACATGTTACAATTTATGAATGCGTCTGTGGGGTCGACCGCTGGATGTAATGGACCTGAATCGAGGACGGGTTGGTCTGAGGATTGGTTCATACCTGTGGCGGGTAAACGGCTGGAGGTGACGTAGTGGAGAGCCATTGGTTGATTGTGGCGGGTAAACATCTGGAGGTGAATTTTTTTTTTTGGCAGAGCTATTCCTGTGTGAGCTCTAAACTGGCCCACTAAGTGTTGCTTGTTTCTATTTTACTTGGGCGGAGTATTTATGACTCGTATGATCGCTTCAGGAAGATTCTGCCCAATGTGTTTAACAACTTCTTCTGCTCTGTTGAATCTAAGTTGAAATCTTAATGGGTTTGTAACTGTGCACTGTGTTAGATAATGTTCCAGTGGTCTGTTGTGGCTGTAACTGTGCACTGTGTTAGATAATGTTCCAGTGGTCTGTTGTGGCTGTAACTGTGCACTGTGTTAGATAATGTTCCAGTGGTCTGTCGGGCATTTCTCCACAGTGCTGACATTTCTTCTCATCTTCCGGAACTTGTAAGCCTATTTCCTATGCACATGGGTATCCAAGCCTGATGCGATGTAAGTGTACTTCTGTTGCTCTACTGCTCCCTTTCATCAAACTAAGTGGTTCGTAGTTGGTTAAATTCTTGTACCAACCCACAGATCCTGATGTTGCAACTGCTGTGTTGTGGTCACTGTACATCTTTTGCATTGCTCTGTTTCTAATTACTTTCTTAATCTGTGATATGTAAATGTCACGTATTGTTGTGGTATGTAAATGTCTACATTTTTTCTTAGTTGCAAGTTTTGCAGCTGTGTCTGCAATGTCATTTCCTATTATTCCCACATGACTTGGCACCCAGTTGATAAGTACCCGTTGGCCTTGACGTTCGAGTGTTTGCATTAATGATATGACATTTTTTATCTGGTGGATGTTATCAATTATGTGTGTGTTCTTGTTGCAAGGTTTCAATGGAGGTTCTCGAATCTGTATGTATGATAACATGTTGTCGGCGTTCAGCAAGAGCATGTTCCAAAGCCTTTTGAATGGCTAGCATCTCTCTTTGTAAAGTCGAACACCCATTTGAGAGCCTCCAACTATTTACAAAGTTTTCTGCTTTAACTGCAGCTCCGGTTTCTTGTCCCTGCTGGTCTACTGATCGGACCAAACATGGTCGGATGCCATGTTTGCTTCTATATGCATCTGTGCAATGTTACGTAGACGATGAGGATTTGTCTGGTTCTTTTTTCCTTCAAGAACCATAATCTTAATTAAAGTCTGCTGGCGGAGATTCCTAAGGGGCTTGCATAACAAAGTCTGCATGTATTTCGTCGACACCCTTCTCAGTGACTGTGTTTGTTATATCGAATGTATTGATG